ACGTGGCCAATATGGCCAAGGGAGTCGTAGATGTTTTCAATGCTAGTGTTGATCCAGCTGAGTATCTCAATGGATTGGAAAAGGCACTGGCTCAATTTACATCGACCTCCCGAACCTCGAGCACCATCAATGACAAGAGACGGGGATCCTTCGACTGCACACTGCAAACTGCAGAAGCCGAAAGGGTCATGAAGCTCATCCACGCAATCCCCGGATATGATTCGCTGGCCAATTTCTGCTGCCTCACGGACTGGGAGAAGGATCAGGTATTCTCTCATTATCGCAGGAAGAACAACATCACAGGGGGTGACGCCAGCATGGGCACTGATGCCGATGCCAAGCCAGGTGACGAGTCGTCGGCTCACCCTGGGGAGGAGGAAGCTGATGAGCCAGCGAACGACCCCACCGATGTGGTCAGGGACTCAGAGAATTCCGGGAAACAACAACTTTTGGATGCGTTGGGAAAACTCTTCACCGTCTCTGAGGATGTCAACGTGTGCTTGTATTGTGGTAGCACCCAACATGGCCATCTTGAATGTGAACATGAGAAGAGAGATGAAGTCAGAAAAGTGCTAAAGGCCGTCCGAGCGTCGCTCGAGGCTGATAGTCCAACATCTGATGACGTCGATATGGAGCCTCCTGAGCACAAGAAGGACGGTTCAGGTGCTACTGATGGGTCGGGGCAAACGGATGAACCCACAAAATCGAGGTTTGGTGAACACCAATGGTACGACAGCATCAGAACTATGTCTGAAGTTGGTGACCTCGATGAGTATGGCAGATTCTGCATAGAAGGACGTGATGTTACAAAGCTAGGACCACAGAACATTGTTGACCTCAACGAAGTGGTCAGAGACGCTATTGTCAGAGGAGGAGGTGACTCTTGGTCAGTGCCAGACTTTATGGCAAGCTACTCTGATAACAACATCAGGAAGCCCTTCTACAAGAGAGTCGAGGCGCCGCAAGATGGTTTCTTGAAAATCATCCCGACCACGGGGGCCCATTTCTTCAACTGCTCTTACTTTGGCGGTGTAGAATATGCGGCCAACTACCGATTCGAGACTGGCAACCGACTCAATACCTACGAGGACAAGGTGAGTACATCACTAAACAGGATCCTGCGGCACAACGTGGGGAAGGTATCAGAACAACAGAGTCTGTCATGACGCCGGCTGGGTGCCCATCGAGGAGGTGCTCAAATGTGAGTCCATCTGGAGGCACGAGTACGCACGCTGGCCACATGTATTCCTTGCTCCAAAAGGAAGAGCAAATGATCAGAGTGCATGGAATGTCGATGAGGCAAACTACCGCATGACGTTGCTCTTCAAGATCATGTTCCACTGTGCCCGGTATGGACGTCGTGTTCGTGAACAAGTCTTGGCATTTGGTATCAACAAGGACATCGAGCGCACCAGCCTGACGTGCATTGACAACAAAGTCGATGCGAACACGAACATTCCTGATGAAGGTCTACTGCTCTACCCTGTGGCGGTCCGTGCTCCTACGGGGCACAAAGAAGGATCTTCAAGGGACGACGTCTCATTGCTGTCCTCATTACTTTCACATCCAATCGCGCCCAACACCATTTTGTCATTACCGGTTTGTTTCCACATCACCAAGAAGACCAACCTTCGAAGCATTTGGAGGCAGGGATTAATTCCAGGAGGTCTTGGAGAAGGTCATCGGATGTTCACGTTCTTCAACCCGTATGTGCCATGGGATCACAGATCATGGACTATCACGAAGAGCGTTGATACGCGAAAAGGGGACTACATTTGCTTGTTCATCCCGACCGAGACCTTGATGGTGGAATATGGCGGTCGACTGACTGACTCGGGACAGATCGTCTCACCAAAGATCATCCCGTTCTCGGCAATCAAAGGAGGATGGATTCAGGACCCAAAGGACCAAAACAATAAGACATGGCTCCGGTTGTTCGTCCCGTCGGGCGACGACCAGGTAGTCCGGTCTGGAACTGTCAAATCAAGAACGGTAGCCACCAAGGAGTCCATCTTGAGGGTTGCAAGTCAATGCATCGACGCCGAAGATCAACCGTTTGACGAAACCGCCATGGATGCCATGAACATCGTCAACCAATTCAAGAACGACCTCATCAAGCCTGGCGGACAAGAACAATACCTGGCCCGCATCAAGCTGATTGACTACATAGTCGAACGCAAAAGGGTGCAAACATCAGGTTGCCGCCATTGTCCTCACTGTCTCAATGAGACGCCGACAAAACTAGCAGTGTGTCTAGTTTGCTGGACGGAACTGGAAAGTTGTGGAATCCGTCCCTATCGGCTACAAGCTCCTGAAGACGATGAAGATGAGGCCACGAAGAAAGAGATCGATGAAGAGGTTCGACGACAAGAAGAATCGTTGTTCAAGGATACGGTCCATCAAGCACAAGAAAACGTATCCGAATCCAACGACTATGGCTTCAATCCCGACGAGGTCGATTACAACGAAGGCGATGATGAAGAAATGGATCAGGAGGAGGAAGCCCAACAGGAAGACGACGAAATCGTTGAAGAAGACGAAGATGAAATGGAAGTCGAACCTGAAGATGAATCCTCTTCCAAACTTCCAGCATGGACCAAGAACCTCGAGAGCGGCAGCAAGGGTATGCCAGAAGACGGACTTATCAACAATGATGTCTCCGAGGCCGCGGCTCACTTGTATGACAATGCTGTCATGTCAAAGGTCATCACAATGTTCAGGCTCTACTACAAACAGAGAGTCACTCTGACCCCAGAGGAGTACTATGAGATGATGACGGAAACCAAGCGAGTCCGGCTGGACCTGGACGACTTCTGTCCTTATACAGGAGAAGACCAGGATGGCAACCTCAAGCGACCGACGGAGCTGGAATTGGATGAACTCTTTCAGCAGAAAGGGAAGAGGAATTCATGGTCAGAAGGAGAGAAGTTATACTCAGGGCGACCAAGAAACATGATGATGCCTGTCATCAAGACTTTGGAAATCTATGAGAAGATGATGGAATTTCTGGTACGCGCTGGGTACACTCCTGAGTCATTAGGCTTTCTCATGCCAATGAACCGAATGCAGGCTGATGCCCAAGGGAAACATGAGATGCGAGTAACCATCAGCAATTTCCTTCGACGACTGCTCAAAGGAACCTTTCCGGAGCACGAGTCATACACCTTCTTTCGCTCCGGGAGCCACGGCTTCCCCAACTGCATCGAACTCCCAGCTTTCTCGGTATATCTGAGCCTGAGGGAGAAAGAACAGAGAGTAGAACTGCTCTTTGCAGCCCAACAATGTGGCATTCCTTTACCTCAAAACTTTGTCAGCAAGATGGCTTATGCTATTCAGCTGGCCGAGGCCGAGGCGCAGAGGGGAAAGACCGAGATGAAAACGAAGATGGTTCCAACCCTTGGCGACGAAGTGGTGAGTGAAGTATTCAAAGCGGTTGGACATACTGCAGCTTCTAAGTTTGCTAAACCGACTGCGCAACCTTCACAGACGCCTGAAGGCGCTGGTTCAGCATCATCCTCATCGGCTAGTGCACCAAAGGGCAAGGCTATGCCGAAATCCCATGAACCATCAAAGGCACCGCCTGCAAAGCCTTCATCGCCGAAAGCTGCTCCGAAACGTGCGGCAGGATGGGAGAGAACTCCAACAGCACCTCAATGGAAGAAAGTCCGCCGTGAGCAGTAAACCAATTACTTCGATCCGTCAAAATGATCACTGGGCTACAAGATGTTCACCGTCTTTATGAACAGATGATCAGGAAAAGACCAACTGAGTGGACACTGAGCGAGGCATTAGAATAATTCGCTTAGGTTCAAGGCTTTTGACATTCCCAGTCTGCACGAGATTCTGCATTGTGCACGTGAATTCGTTAGTTAGCATTGTAAATCTTTGGTAGCGAGGCGATCCATTTCTCCCGACGGGTGAGTGGCATGCTTAGCCAACGTAGAAAAGTAGATGTTAGCTAGCAATAATTCGCGTTGTATAGCTTGAGGAAGCGCCGATGCATCGACAGCCAAAGAGTAGGTGAACCCTGAACCATTATACCCGACGGGTTTGTGGGGAAGGGGGATCCGAATGGCACGTTTTATGTACATAGGCGTAATTCGAGCAGCAGAAGGATTTAATTCAAAGTTCCCACTCTCGTGCCTACGGTTCGAAGATGCCGTAGGCATGGGGGGTGCGAAAGGGAACTAGGTAATACAATCATTTCACATGCTGAGCATGTAGTCAGTAATGCATGGACTGCCAATCACTTGGCTCAAGTCATGCGCGAGGAAAAAGACCGTTCTCCGAACGCCATGCAGTGACGTTGCCCTGCACTACCAGCACACCCGGTACTACAATCAAAAGGGATAATCCAGAACAAGGATCAATTTGTTCACATATTTGATATTTGATACGGTACCGTATATATATATATTATATATATTATATATATATTATATATATATATATATTATATATATATATATTATATTATATATTTGTTTGAGTTCTGAAGTTCTGATATTACTATTTTGAGATATTTTGACATATTTAATTGTGGGTGATGACTTTCGGAGCTGTAAGCCATCCTTGAAGATTGATACAGACTCACAACACAGCTTCTTCCTTGGCAACACTCTTTGCGGCAGTTTTCTGAAGTTGGTGTTGCGGCAGTAAGGAAGTTGTCGATCTTGCAAAAACTGGGCCCGCCACCGGCCTACGACCTTTCCCTTCTCTACAACGTCGCTGGAATCACGGCGCGACAAACAACCCGTGACTGGTCAATTGTGAGACCATGTGAGACCATTCAAGGTGTGATTTTCAATGAGGATTCTCAATCTTCATCAATCTTCAGTATTACATCTTCATTTCTCAATTCTTCATCAATTACAATGTGCTTTGGGAGTAATTACTCAAGACTCAGATGAATTGAGATTGCCTTTCTTTCGGTCGTGCGCAGTGCGAGGCGATCGCGAAAAGGAGGAATCACAGGAATCTGCACACGCCTCTCCAACCGAGATCCTCAGGACACACAAAACCAGAGTCTCAGAATCCAGGTACTGTTTCATACATTTCATACACTGGAAAACAGCGCACTGTGTGCGTGTGTGCTATGTGTTTGTTAATGTCTTACACTGCTAGAAGATGAGAAATTGGGTGGAATTGCCAATTGGGTTGGAGTTTTTCTTCATGAGCATCGCATCAGAGCCATAAAAAATATCTGCAAAGCATGGAGTGAACCTTTTTGGAAACTCGCCCCATGTGGAATTCCGCCAAAATGCAGGGTTTTGCACCAGGATTTTGGTTCAGCCACATTTGTTGAAGATGGAGCCCTGGCAACGAAGTTCAGTTGAAATCCATCTTTTTCATGGTGTTTCCCCGCAGCATTTGATCTTATTGTGGCGAATCATCTTGAATCCGACACAGAATCATATTGAATCAAAATCATATGAAATCCGTGTCATCATTTGTCCAAATCTCATATGAAAACATCTCAGACAATCTCAGATAACATATATATAATATATATATATATTGATATATTGAAATAGGATATCTCTTGATATCTCTTAATCTTGAGTGCTTAGCTTAGGTAGTTCTCTTTAGCATCCTCGCCAGCGTTGGGAACATCCAGACCTTTGGACTCAGCAACGTATGGCCAGTGACTTGACTTTCGATGGCCTCGCCCAAAATGATGCGCGGATTTCGGCCCTTTTCTGCCAAAGCTATTCAATATGTAATGTCATTATTTAACGTTTTTTTTTTAAACATTAATATGTTATTTGTATTTTATTTGATTCATATTATTTATATAATATTCAAGATTAAGTGATTCCTCCTACGCCACGACTTTTCTGCAGCGTTGCAGGAACTCTTGCGACATGATTCCCATGGGCTGCAATATTTGGGCCCCGCACAGAAGCTCATGTTGCTGGTGTCTGTTGGGATTCCGGTTGGTGGGGTCTGTGCCTTGATTTCCAATTCCAAGAAGGCGTCGCACAGAATTTACATTTTGTTCTCGGGCCTTTTGGGGTGCATTGGACTGGCCTGTGTGGCAGCTTTCGAACACTCATCGTTGCTGCTGCTGGCGATGCTCATTACGCATATGTCGGGGTACCCAGGTTTTTTTTCCTGATGTTTACGCTGCAACTGGAAGGACATACAGACATACATGGCTGTTTTGGCGTATTTTGGCGCCTTGGTAAGGGATCAATGCAGTCATCCCATCATCATTGTTGGGATTTGTTGGGAGTTCAAGTGCGCTTGACCAAAAGTGTTTTCTCGCATGTGTTCGGAGTCTTGATCAGTTTTACTTTCACCACAAGTGCTTCATGATTTTCCCAGCTATATTTTGGATCTTTCAACATCTTGACACATTGTGTTACCATCTTTAAACCTTTCAAAATTACTTTACTTCGTGTGATCCCCACCATGACATGTCAGGACATGTCAGGACGTATATTTGGACAAATCTTGAATATATTCTGACATTCTATCTGGCATTCTATCTGGCATTCTATCTGGCAATCTATCTGACATATATTCTGACATTCCACCTGGCATTCTATCTGGCATTCTATCTGGCATTCTATTTGTCATTCTATCTGGCATTCTATCTATTCTTTCTGGCATTCTATCTATCTGACATATATTCTGACATTCTATCTGGCATTCTATCTGGCATTCTATCTGGCATTCTTTCTGGCATTCTATCTATTCTTTCTGACTGGCATTCTATCTATTCTTTCTGGCATTCTATCTGGCATCTGGCATTCTATCTGGCATTCTATCTGGCATTCTATCTGGCATTCTATCTGCATTCTATCTGACATTCTATCTGGCATTCTATCTGACATATGTATCTGACATTCTATCTGGCATTCTATCTGGCATTCTATCTGGCATTCTATCTGGCATTCTATCTGGCATTCTATCTGTCATTCTATCTGGCATTCTATCTGGCATTCTATCTGGCATTCTATCTGACATTCTATCTGGCATTCTATCTGACATATGTTCTGACATTCTATCTGGCATTCTATCTGGCATTCTATCTGGCATTCTATTTGTCATTCTATCTGGCATTCTATTTGTCATTCTATCTGGCATTCTATCTGGCATTCTTTCTGGCATTCTATCTGGCATTCTTTCTGACATATATTCTGACATTCTATCTGGCATTCTATCTGGCATTCTATCTGGCATTCTTTCTGGCATTCTATCTGGCATTCTTTCTGACATATTTTCTGACATTCTATCTGGCATTCTATCTGGCATTCTATCTGGCATTCTTTCTGGCATTCTATCTGGCATTCTATCTGGCATTCTATCTGACATTCTATCTGGCATTCTTTCTGGCATTCTATCTGGCATTCTATCTGGCATTCTATCTGGCATTCTATCTGGCATTCTATCTGGCATTTTATCTGGCATTCTTTCTGGCATTCTATCTGGCGTTCTTTCTGACATTCTTTCTGACATTCTATGGTCGTGGTTGAGGTCCGGCAGGGAACACTGGGCGTGGATACTCGCGGCTGAGGTCCGGCAGAGAACACTGGGCGCGGATGGTCGTGGTTGAGGTCCGGCAGGGAACACTGGGCGTGTATGGTCGTGGTTGAGGTCCGGCAGGGAACACTGGGCGTGGATGGTCGTGGTTGAGGTCCGGCAGAGAACACTGTGGATCGCGGGTCGCACTTGAGCAAGGACGACGAGGACGACGAGGACGACGAGGACGACGAGGACGACAAGGACGACAAGGATGACAAGGAGGACGAGGAGGAGGAGGAGAGGAGGACGAGGCAGGAGGAGGCGGAGGAGGAGGAGGAGAAGGAGGAGGAGGAGAAGGAGGAGGAGGCAACTGACATAAAATCTAACAACCCTCACCTGGCAGGTGGGGAAAAACCATCTTAAACCACTGAAACCCAGAGACGGAAAATGTCGAAAAATGTTGAAAACGAGGTCTGGCAGCTTGGAGTATTCGGTGTCGATGATTTTCTGCGAGGAAAGTTTTCCCACGGCGATCCGCGCCTCGGCCACGGGGGTGGTCATCTTTTGGGGCACCCTGTGGTCCGTGGCCTCTCCGTTGCTCCTCACCGCAGTGCCCCGGATTGCCCCAGTCGTTGGATGGTGAGTTTGGTTCTTTGTTGGGGGAACCATTGGAACCAGGGAAGAACTATGGAACGACTATGCTTTGGCTGAATTTTGAGAGAATTTGATGGATATTTTGGGGTGGATACAATGGAGAATAGTGGATACTTTCCTCTGAACTTAGAGGTAGACTCAGGTAGACAAGAGATAACCAGAGACTGTCCAGGTTGGGGAGAGAGGTTTCATTGCAATCGCTGGTGTGGCCTTTGCCGTGGCTGCTTTGGCCATCGTACCTTTGAAGGAAACTCGGGGTGGCTCAGCTGTAGATTTGGCCAATCGAACGAAACACCTCATGCTTTTTATGTTTAATTTTCGTTTAGGAATGTGTAGGATTTGCAACTCATGAAAAGAACACGGACAGAGTTGACAGTATTTTTGATGGCTGACCAGGTGCTGAACTCCAGGATTTTGCCAAACAAACTTCAGAGGCTGCTGAATTCGACGACGAGGAAGAAGAATCTGAGGATGAGGATGATGAGGACGTGGGCTCTTCTGCCGACGTTCAGCTCTCATGGCTCTTTGCCAATGGAACGATTGGCGGCTCGCATGAAATGGTTCGTAAAATTGACTGTACCTCTAAGACATATCACAAGAAGCTACTTGTAACAACCAGTTTTTTATATTTTTTTATTGCGTCCTTAGTATAGGATGTATAGGCCAATTTGAATTTGGTCAATGGTTTTTTGCCGCCGACATTGGAAGACATTCGAAGCCCAGAGGTGCGGCCATGGAGCTGTCGATGCTGTCGGGTCTGCTGGGCGCAGTGCCGGGCGTCTCCTTCACTTCGTTCTATTCGTCCATGGGTTTCATCATCGATCGTTGCAAGGCGAAGGGAAAGAAGGGGATGAACATGCCGATACCCCAAAAAAACATCCTACAAACTATATACAAACTATAAAATAGATATAAATATATTATAATTAGTATTATGATATCAAGATAGTATATGTAATAATATTAACTAATAGTATAAGACTATATTCACCTGGTTGGACATGGTTGAACGATTGTCCACTTGACGATTGTTGGGGTCCGTTTCAGGTTTTGATGGTTCAAAGAGTTCAAAGTAGTGGATCATCAACCATTCACGTGAAGCAGAGGGCCTTCAGGTTGTTGGTCAGTGTAGTTCAGGATAAGATTAGCCGTGGAAACACAGCTGAAATGGAAATTATCCCACCATATCCCAACCCTAAGATCCCGACATATCCCAACTATGTGGCTCGTATTGACTCGTCATGAATCTCCAAGCTTCCGTGGCACCGGGCCAGGACCGGAGCTTCTTCACCAAGGCTGGGTGCCATGCGCCGAGGGAAAAACAGAGCCGGCTTTGCTGGACAACAACAATTTATATATTAAGATAAGAACGGGAGTTTTTACAAAACCACACATTGTGACAAAGCCTCACAATTTTCTGTTTTTATAAGATGAAGATTTGTTTCTGTGTTGATTTGGTAAAAGGAACGAAACGAAAGTCCCGTGAGAGTTTGTAAACTTTATAAACGGTTTTTGGCAAAAGGAGATGCTTCTTGGGAACGGAGTGGCCGTCGTCATGCTCTTGCTGATGCCAAAGATTGGGCCGTGGATGCAACGACGCTTCCAACTTCAGCGATCAATTTTCCTTCGTTTGGTGCTTTCGACACATTGTTTGGCCTTGGTGAATTTGCTGATGTCACTAGCAGAAGATGAGATCAGCATGTTGGTCATGGGAGCGGTGCAGAGTTTTTTGAACGCCATGGTTTTGAACACCAGCCATTCTTTGGCGGCTGCAATGACGGGCAATCGCCGAGCTTGGGTGCAGTTGGGTTTCCTCAGTGGCGCCCTACTGCCGGTCGTGACAACTCCATTCACCGGCTTTGGACCAAAGAGTCCGCTGTTGAGCCGTGTGGCGTTCTATGCAGTTCCTGCTACCTTTTGCTTCCTGATCGGACTGCTCTTGGGAGTGTACCACGCCAAGGTGAAACCACATTTGGAGAGAGAACCTGAAACGTCTGAAACGTCTGGAACGTTGGAACTCGGAGGCCCTCGGGGCAACATGGCCCAACTGGCCGAAGCCTACAGACGCTTTGAACAACCGACAGAGTCGGCAGAACCAACGGCTTCTGTTGAAGCCTCGCCGTCGCAGCGAGCAAGCTGTCGCTTTTACGTGGCGTTTTCCGCGGTGTTGTGTCCCTTGGACTCCTATCATGCCATGTTGACACGATACCCTTTGATATTTTGGACAGCAAGATGTCAAACCCACTGGTCAGGCAAATATGTTTTACATGGTTGTTGTATGTTGGTGTTTTATGTTTGTTCTTGATATCCTTGCTTCCTTTGTAACCTCGCAAATCCCACAGCTTTGTTCAAGTCGTCCTCGGTCGTCCTCGGCCTTTTTTTCGATTTCTTGGGGACACTGAGACAGCTGAGCTGAAAGCTTGCGAGGTTATCAGATGGCATCCTACTTTTTTGCTGGTTTGTTCCCTTTGTTGGGCGACGCTGCTATAGCCCTCCACATGTATCTCTACATGATTTGTGGCGACATGGTGGGTAGTTTGATCGCCTTCATTTGGACCAGCTGTATGGGTTCCATGGGCGACGTTTCCGACGTTTCCATCCGGGACGTTCAGAATCAGATCTATCAGAAGTATCAGAACATCACCTTCATGGCACTTCTCCTCCTGAGTTTCCTCAGTACAACCACTGCCTTGATCCCATCCATCAGCATTTTGGAGACACCTGGTGGCAGTGCTGGATCTTTGGTCTTCACGGCCTTTTTCTTTGGTTCGTTTTCAAAGGCAGGGCTTGAGGCACTTTGCCCCAGAGTGGTGAAAGCTCGTTTGGCTGGCGTCCTCCTGGGTTTGTCTGCGGTGCTGTTGTGTTATGAGACCGTCCTCAGCCGTTCCAACGCACCACCAGAAATCAAGGCGGGTTGTTTTGAAGTTAAGTTAGTTAACTTAGTTAACTTATGTTTAACTGTATCGTTTTGAATATGTTTGAATTTACTTTGAATTTACTTTGTCCATTTTAAATCATTTCTATCATTTCTTGTTGACTTTGCGCATCCACAAGTGATACCCACTGCATCCCACTGCATCCCGAGATGGTCAGGCCCATCTCGATGCCCCACTGGCGGGGTCACATCTGCAGCACCAGCAGTGGCGCTCACAACGGTCAGCACGTGCCGGACTGAGGGCACGTCATCGGCTGCGATGTGAGGGTTGGCACTGTATGCTGGACATTGCTGGACTATTTCAACACAGCTTGGTGAACTAACTTCCACTTGTCCCTCGAGATAAGGTAAGCCATACTTTGCTCAGTGCCTTCCAAAAGTCGCTATACAATAATAGATTAGATCAGATTAGTATGAATTGACTATGAATTGACTATGAATCGTAGTTTTTCAGTGACTGGCCTGTAAAGACTTCCCCAATGGCAGACTTTGCCGTTCCCAGTTGTTCCCAGTTGTTCCCAGTTGTTCCGAGGTCAGGTGGCACTCCAAATCTCTGCCAGGGGGACCATGCGAAGAGAAGGCGCCAGGATTTTTCTTTGAATTTCGGTTGTCACACGTTCAATTTGGGAAGTTCAAAATCCCTCTATCATTCCATTATACTGGTTGATTTATAGGGATTCCCCTAGTGGATTATTGTAATCCCCAATATACTGGGTAATGAATTTCGGTTGAATTTTTGCACCTGTTTGAACACCTTACTACGAAACACCAGATGCAGCATCAACCCTGAGGCTAATGCATGTAATCAGAGTCGCGCCTTACCTTGAGATGGCGCGAGAGAGCTCAAAAAGAGGGTCACATCTCTCAGATATTGACATAAATTCCGTTACATTCCGTTACATGGTTTCACTACAGATTTTACACGATTTGTTGCATTCTGCCTTGGCCTATACCTCTGGCTCCAGCTCAGACGATGTCCGGCGGGTGGGGTGAAGGACGTGCAGATTGTGCACAGGCCAACAGCTTTAGACTGAAACTGTTACGACACGTTACGACACGTTATGAGACGTTGAGACTTTGAGTTTGAACATTTCAACCAAAGGTCAGCGTTGTCCCGGTGTCAACCCGGTGTCAGTCACCTCTTAATGGTGAACTCTGCGCTGAATCGGACGAAGCTCAGGCAACGGCATGCAGAGGTTGGAAGTGACACGCCAGAGGGCGCTGCGTCCTGGTCCTAGAAATCTCCGGTTTTCCAAAATGTCAAAAACTGTTGGAAATTGGTCTCCAAATTGGCGTCAATGATTTACAATGAAAAAAATGTTGAACAAGTACACTCCATGTGCGCACCTACGGGCTTGATCCGTGACTCTGTCTACTCCGTGTGAGGCTGTCATGAATGAACGATTCAGATGGCACAGACTTCGAGGCCTTGTGTCTCCAGAGTTTCATGGAATCAGGTTTAGTGCGGTCTGAATCACACTGAACTTCCAAATTTCGCTGAATTTTGCAGAAAAAGTCACCGATCCCCCGAGGTCCATGTCTCGCATTGCTGGTCTCAGCTCTTGCCCAGGGCTCAGATCGGCCAGCTGAGATGATGAGGTCCTTAGGGTCCATGGTCTTTCTAAGTCTTTCTCGTTGAAACATGTTTAAACAATTCTGATCATATCATGATCATACGGATCATAGCTCCAAGATGCTCCAAGTCCAAGATGCTCCAAGTACGGTAAAGATGAAATGCGCTAGTCATCTTTCGGCTTCATGTTTTGGCTGAGCTTAGTTGCAAGGTCTGATATGTCTGCACTCTCATGGATTGCACACCTGGGAAGTTGCTCGAAATTGCGTGATGTGAGATGAAGTGAGTGGCTAAAAGTTCTGAGAAGTTCTGAGGTTCCCAAAGCTCTAGCACTTTGTGAGAATGAGCCAGCTGATGCCGGTGCGCCTCTGAGCTTTCTCGACGTTTCTTGTGGCTTGGCGCTGTCACGGCTGTCGCGGCAGCTGTCGTGGCACGGAGGCGATTGGCTGTTGTACTTCAACGGCGCGTCGGAGCCTCGGAATCCGAAACTGTCGGTGCATCCCTGACATCCGGTGCAAGACACGACCCGAAGCCGGAAGCATCCGGAAGCCATGGAGGTCATACTTGAACCTGCCAGAGACGGACAACTGGTCCCGGCATCTTGGCATATCTTGGCATATCTTGGCATTTCTTGGCATTTCTTGGTTTGAAGAACTTGGAACCAAAGTAAGCCATTCATAACCTAATGTGGCACACATTGAGCATGTGAGACGAGTCAAGAAGATTCAAGCATGATATGTGCCTATTATATATTATATTATACATCATATGCGCCAGGTATGGTGGGAAGCAAACCACTTGGAGTAAACTGATGTTGCGACGAGATCCACAGGTGGGTGACACCTCTGCTGGGGAGCCCAACGATCTTCACAGTGTTCACCTGCAATGGGAAAGTAGCAGTAGAAGCTGGGCAATTGGACAAAGCATATCAGCATAGTTCAGCATATCAATTGTATATATCAGTAATATGAACCAAGAGATGAAAAACAAAAAAAGACATGAGACAAGAAACCCTTCTAAGAAATGGAAGTTGAAAAGTAGATCATATGTAAATCATATGTAAATCTGTAAATCATATAAGTTGTTGAAATCTGTTGAAAGCGCAGCTTGCGACGGATCCAGGGATCCAGTGACAGGTCTTGGTGGATCTCCGAGATCGCACCTATGCAGTCAGCGAAGAGTCTGAGTGGAGACCTTGGTCCAGTTGTGTTAATTTGTGAACATCATTGATAACATCATTGATAACATCATTGATACCATTTTTATACATTTTTGACATTCTGAATTCCGTTGACATGTGTTGACTTCTTTCAATAGAGCTGAACATTGCGAAACAATTAAGATCAATTAAGTTCTGAAATATGTTGAACTATTGTTGAACTATCGTAAACGTCAACGTTTTCTTTTCCAAAGTTGATCCGTTTTCACCGGCGTTTTTATTGTGCTGAGATCCGCCTGGGGCATTGCGGCCGACTGTTCCGGAGCTCCGAGTGTGGGTGAAATGTGGCGCAGCACGAGTTCTGACGTGTGACGCGTTGTTTCAGGAGTTTTTCTCAGGAGTTTTTCACAGTTTTTAGGTCTTTCCCATAGGATCCATGGTGCTGGTATATATGCTAACATTGCGGGTATATTGATGGGATCCATGTTACATAATGTTACCATATATAGCAGCACCATGGATCCTATGGGTTTGTGCTGTTTCTTCTTTCGTTTCTTCTTTCGCGTGGCACAGTTTTGCAAGTCCATTGAGTCCAACATTGGCCAGGTCAATCAATTTGACAGGGACGCCTTTTGCCTACAAGGCCCCTGACCTCAGAATATCCATAGGAACCATAGGAACATCAATTGCCGATGTCCACCGAAGATTCACAGTTCATTTGGTTGATTTGGTTCTAAGATCCTCTTGGTATTGACATGAAAATCATGTCGTAGGATTTCTACTAATCTCACATCAGCTCACATCAAGGCACTGTGCCAAACAGCCGCGGGTTTTGAGTCCTTTGGGAGCGTCCGGGAATCTCAGCAGACACAGCAATGGATCTCAGAGTGCCGAAGGTTGAAGGTTTTCAGAGTCTTCAGAGGACTTTTGCAACCTGCGGTTACAGCAAGTCGAGGTCTCATGTGACGATAACCAGACTTGCACAGCCACCTGCAGCTCAGCTTCAGTATGCTTCAGTTTCCAGTATCATTCCAGTGCATTCCAGTGCTTTATCTTTCATGATCTTTCCACCTTGGGGTTCAACATGGGTTGGTATTCGCATTCCATAGCTGCCATAGCTGCGCTTTCCATGGCCTCTCAGTCGTCTCAGTCACCTGAGGTGGTGGAATCTGTGGTTTCTGTGGTTTGGGGATCAAGACTACCACGATGGCGGAACTTCAGGCGCCATTTGCAAAACAGCGGACATTTCAGGAAGGAAAATATTGGAAAAAGGAAGGAAAAGGATAGAACACGATAGAATACATCAAAGGTTGAGATCCAATTTGTGATTTCGATGGCAAGCTTTAATCGTGGAAGCGGGAGACAACTGCTGTTACAGTGTAATAGTTTAATTTGGTGTATGTTTTTTTGCTTGGAGAAATACAGTTTTGTTTAATATAGTATCAATGAAGTTGTCAGATCCATTGAATGATTTTTATATTGGATATTTGTGGTATCTCTAGCGGCGAGGTTGTGGATGAATGTGCTTTCATTCTGGGAGTTCGGGTTGCAAGCTCAGCTGTATGTTTGAACTGGCTGGCATCCAAGATCTCCATGCTTGTTGGCCAAAAGATCGCACAAAACGCTGGGATAATTTAAAGCACCTGTAGCAGATGTGGATGTTAAAGAGTTGGCAACTGACATCTGACAAGACAGAAGATACATCATTATATAAAATTATATATCATGATAAATCATATATGATACATGATATGATACATGATATGATACATGAATCCCCGTTCGAATTTCAACTACAGAATGGGAGGCCTTGTGCCCCGTTTCAAGGCCTTTCCAGGCTTAAATTAAGATGAAAAAATGGGGATGGGCCAGGCATTTTGTACCCGCAGCTTGGGAATTGCATTTTATAAGTTGTCAACGTTTCGGTAGTTGAAAGACCTTTAAAAATCGAAAGTCATTTTGTAGCAAGAGAATTTGCCCGTCGGAAGACAACATGTAAAAACCCAATCTCATTTTTGTAGCAAGGGAAGTTGCCCTTCGGAAGTGTTCCCTTCAAGTAACCTGATGATAAAAACATATAAAAACCTATCTTCATTTATAGTGGTGGAGTGTCCCCTTCAAGTAACTTGATGATAAAAACCAATCTTCATTTTGTAGTATTGAAGTGTTCCCTTCAAGTAACCTGATGATAAAAGCATATAAAAACCAATCTTCATTTTGTAGTGGCGGAGTGTCCCCTTCAAGTATCTTGATGATAAAAACCAATCGTCATTTTGTAGTGGTGGAATTTCCCCTTCAAGTAACCTCATGATAAAAACCAATCTTCATTTTGTAGCAGTATCATGTTGTCATTTTCCGTAATCCTCTGGGGGTTGAGAACCATCATTTTATAATGGCTGAGGTTAGGAATTTTGATGCTTTGGTACAAAATGGGTTCTCGACCCCATAGTAGAAATTCAAACCGGGATATACATGATATGATACATGATATGATTAATCATGATTATATGAAGATTATGAAGTCATGCATTGTAAGTCTTGGGCGACGACGACCTCGCTGACCTCCACCATCACCTCCACCACTAGCTCTACGAGCAGCACAGTGACTCGGTGAAACATGGTGAAACATGGTGAAACACGCCAAGTGCTATGTGATGATATGTGATGATGTGTGTTTGTGTTAGCATTGTGAACATGCTGAAATGGATGTGAAACGGATGTGAAATAGATGTGAAACGTTTGTGACACGTTGCCAAACGCGGCTAAAGGTGGTGGGGTTTGGGGTGGAATTGTGGAACGCACTAACCGACTCTTTACCCGTTCCTGCTTTATGCGCACTTGTGCCAATTGCGCTAAGCATACATCGACAACCTACCTGGGGAACACCACGACCAGCACCAGCTCGTAGCAATCTCAGAGTCGAGAGTTGTTTTCTGCGGCAAAGTGGAGATAAGCCGTGCAGACGAACCAAGCTTTGATCTTGGGGAAAACGGTCAAAGATGGTCAAAGATGGTCAAAGGTCCAAGTCATCACAGACAAACCTGGGGCGCAAGGAACTCGATCACCTCAACCACCATTACGACCACCACTTTGTCCACGACCACGTCATCATCCAGCACCACCACCGAGACCGTAACTGCAAGCACTACCACCCAGGCATGAGAAACGCAAAAAGAATGCCATGAACATTTGTCCCAGATTCAAGTTTTGTGTTTCACCAATTTAAGTCATTTGCATTCACTTGCATTCACTTGCATTCACCTACCAGGACCTACCAGTTCACTCGTCAGTTCACGTCAGTTCACGTGCCATGTTTTCCTCTGAACGCTCTACAAGTTGGGCGCACTGCGGCCAGGTGGATGGCTACTACTACTATCGCTTCTCTCCTTCACAGATAGCGTCAGAGGATCCAGGCACAAAAAGGTCAAACAGTTGATGCAGACAGGACTGAAAGGTTTTACATATATCATATATGTTTTACATTGTTTTACATTCTAAAGGTTGATGATCGGTTGATGCAAATGTTTGATTCTTTTCATTCCACTTCAACAGTGACAGATCTGACAGATCGACTCACTGTCTCACGTTTGGGTGCACAGGTGCAGCATGCTGTTGTGCTCATGCCGTGGCCGAGCTGTACTTCAGGCCAAACTGCGGTCCTTCGCTTTGGAAATGTTTGGAAATGTTTGCAAACTTGCAAACATGTGTCCCCAACACTGAAAAACCCTGCTGTTGAGGACAGTCTTGGCGATTTGTCGTTCCATTCATGTCCGTTCATTGTTTGCGGAGCCCAAGTCATTTCTCCATGTAACTCCATGTCGCATGTGCAGGAAAGAATTTCTCATGTGAAGTTTTTATGCACACTGTGAAGTGGTAGGAACTGCGGGGCTGACGTGGAAACCGCCACGGCCGTCGCGAGTTCCTGGGCAGCACTTGCCATGACTTGCCATGGCCATGGTGCTGTCAGATGCTGTCGCCACAATTGGTGATTTCAACGGGAGCCGCGTCGGATTGAGGCAACCCGAGAGGTTCCTGGGCAAGTTTGGACCTCAGAACGGCAACAATCTTCATGAATCTTCACGACACTTGCATCGTTCATACCCATAGGATCCATGTATGCTATATATGGTAACATTTACCATCAATATACCCCCAATGTTAGCATATATACCATACATGGATCCTATGGGTATGGTTCTATGTTTCCATAACGGTTGGACCCGGTTGGATTGGAAGTGATACCGAGACCTAGGTTGGGGTCCTGCCCATGCGATTGATCAGCTGAGTGGCACCAAGTGGCGAGACACACGTAGGCTCGTCATGGCTCCATATGTTCCATCTATCTCCATCTCCACCCATCGCAAGTCTCTTTTACAAAGCCACCACCCTATCCACCCTGACAGACGAATGATGTCCCGGGGTTAGGTGTCATCATGTGTCATCAACATGTTTTTGGATGTCGGTTTTTATGGTTTTTTGATGCCGCAGGCAGCCGCTGGTCATTGAATGGCCTGTGCTGACGTTGGCCGCAGCCCTGGAAGTGGATCCGGCAATTGCTGGGTGTCATCACATGTCAGATGTCATCAACGCCATTGCGGCATATTGCAGCATATCGCAGCCATGTTGCATTTTGGGCCATTGGTGACGTTTCCGTTTTTCCTTTTGAGGTGGACTCCTACAGCGTCTTGGCTGCATCGCTGCACCTTGTTCCACAGCTCACAACAGCTCACCTCTCTTCAAAGGCACAGAGGTGAAACACGATGAACGCATGGTGAAAACACACGTTTTTTCAGCAGTTGGTATTTGGTTTCACCACGCTTCAACACTCCAGCCTTTCAGAAAGACTTCACACACACTTTGAACAGACTTCACCTGTGTTTCTTCGTTTCATCATGTTTCATCATGTTTCATTATTTTGAACATCTTTCACCAGTTGTTGTTTTAATCAATGCCATTTACATATCTATTTGGTTTCATCAATTTCCATAATGTTTAAATCATATTTTATCATGTTTTATCATATTTCATCCGCATCCGAGGTTACCTCACTGCTGCTGATTGTCCGGACAACGACCCGGTGGCTTTCGAGCTCCACGGTTCTCAGGATGGCGTGTAGTGCACAGCTCAGACCTCGACACCACGAACTCCGCGAACGCATTCTGAAGGCATTCTGAAGGCATTCTGAACTCATTGAACTTTACAAAATGCAGAAAAATGTGGTCCAAAATCACAGAGCCAGTTGTTTTAAGATGGATGCAGAAAGATTGGGAATCGCTTTCCGATCGCATGGCATCGCACTGAGTTGGATCCTGCTGGACTCACGAGTCATGAGCGAACCGCCTCCCTCAACGGCTTGGCGGCCGGCCGGGGCAACTCAGGTTCCGTCAGGTTCCGTCAGGTTCCGTCAGGTTCCGTCAGGTTCCGTCAGGTTCCGTCAGGTTCCACTTGAAACATCTTGAAACTGCCGGTGACTGACACTCTGACACTCCATGTTCAGATGACACTGGATGGTACATATGGAATTCCGATGAATTCCATAGATATCCAACAAGTTCCAACATATTCCAACATGTAGAAACCTTAAAAGCAAGCAGCAGTCAAGCTTATACCATGTTATACCGTTATAATTATCGAGTTATACCATGTTGTCATTGGCCCAGGCACAGACCGAATGGTTCACATTTAAGAACTGCACGGAGTTGGAAGCTGAGATGTGATTCTTGACATTTCTTGCCCGTTGAGATCGAGATTTGTTAAGAGGAACGTGATGCCGATCACAGACTGATCACAGAGCTTGCAGTGTTCGGTTTGATGTAGGACCACAATTTTCTCGCTTTAGGACCACAACAGCTACAACTGTGACCAGGACGCAGAAAACGACGCAGAAAGCGACGCAGAAAACGACGCAGAAAACGGCTGTCCGTCAGGACCGAGACCTCGGCGACCACCACGTCTTCCGTGACGACTTCCATCACAGGGACCACCACGGCAAGCACCACAACATCGCCAGAGGCACGTTTTGGAAAAATCAGACAACAAAGTCATTTCATATGATTTCATATGATTATATCATATTATGATTCATGTGGATCACCGCCTTTGATTTGAATCAGTTTGACAGTTATTGCTTTATACTATTTTACATATTCATTATTACAATTGTTGATAATTCATGTATAATTCATGTTTGCTCTATGTTGCTTCGGCTTCCAGGGAGCCTTCGTTGTGCTCTTGACCTTTGGGACCTGCGTCGGCCCCTGAGAAGCCCCGCCTTCCGCGTTTCGCCGTCAACGCCACGCGTTGCCACGCGCGTGTCGAGACGTGACCAGGCCATGCAGCAGTTGCATCCCATCCTGGCGCAGACGGAATGCGAAGAAGCTGCCAGGCCTTGAAATCTGCCAGATTTCCTGTGAAAACATGTGAAAATGGTGTGAAAACAGGACTTGAAACAGCACAGACCGGATCCAGGACCATTGGTGTTGTACATATTCTTTAAACAAAACTACATTTTTGTCTTGCAAACGTCTTTGTGGTTGTCATGTGGATATAGATGGCGTAGACAAAGTTGTCACAAAATGTTCATAGATCCCAAAATATCCCAAATTATTTGGAACACTTAAATATGCTCATCCGCAGGCTGTCCGACCCCGACCAGCCTGGTCTTAGACATGTCCTAAAGCCACTCAGCCACTCAGCCTGTGGCCTGGAGGAAGCTTCAACTGCCTGACACCTCTGTAGAGACCACGGGTCAAGCAAACAGGCGCCTGAAGTTCCGAAGTTCCGACGAAGTTCCCAGGGCTTGGAACATGTTGGAACTTGTCTGTTTTGCTTGTTAACTTCGAAAAGTTTGAGAAGCTTGGGAAGTTCTGTTGTCATTTTGTTTGGGGCTTCACAAGTAATAAGGGACTCTTATCCCAATCGCATCCCAAGCACTATGTTTTTGACACGTGGTCAAAGCCTTTGCGACGTTGCCATGACATTCCCAGGCCTGAAGGATGTGCCAGCCTCAAGTGTCACATTCTCCATATTCGGTTAAATATATATATATTAGATTATATATTATAGATAATTTCAACATGTTTCGGAGATGTTTCCATCCGGTGCTGAAATTTGGAGGATTTGCTGAGGCTACTTCTTCGAAGGGGATGAGCTTTGGATGGGTGTGAATCCTGCCAGTGAGGTCAAACACTGAGATCGCACCAGCTATGAGAAACGAGACCAGACGAAGAAATACGAAGAATCTAAGAAACTTCAGGTGATGAAAACAGATTCAGCAAATTTCATTGTCACAAAAACCTTGGTGACATGATGTGACATGTTTTGATGTTTTTGATGATTCAATCCCATAGGATCCATGGTGCTGCTATATATGGTAACATGGATCCCATCAATATACCCCCAATGTTAGCATATATAGCAGCACCATGGATCCTATGGGATTGATATTCCATGTATTTTGGTGGTTTTCGGAGTTTTTCGGAGTTGAGCTCCGAGCAATCATTCGATCTGCGAGGGCCATGGGGCGGAGACATCGGGCCCGAGTGAGAATGAGCCTGGGGGCCCAGATCTGTTCATCATGGCACCAATTGGCACCAGGATGCTATGATTGAATCATGAATGTTCGCATGTTTCAGGTTTGGTACAGCTGTGAAATTCCTGAATTTGTTGTGAAGTTGTTACCGATGCGGCTTGCGGAATTGGTTGTTGAACACATTCAGTTGGGACCAGGGACTGAAGACTTACGTGATGCTTTGTTGGATGGTGTGCAAACCAAGGACCAGATATCCTATCTGCAGCTCTGTTCCGAACGGAAATCGTCACAGACTCAAGGTTGGTTGGTCCCCCACATTGAAAGTTAAACAGATGTTTTCTTTTCGAAGTTTCCACTTGATACTGATACAGGCACTTGGGGCATTTTTGTCTGTCCTTTTGAGGTATATCTGCAAACAGAGCCGGGCAGCAAGGACAGAGAATGCTGTCGGGGATCAACTGTATTTCAACCGTGTGTTCATGTGTAATGTACAGACACACAGATATACTGATGATGATTGATACATATTGATATATATATATATATATATATATTTATAATGAGATTGAGTATGTCACAGTATGTCGTTTGATTCATCTCGATTCTAGTTTGGTCACCACATGTCAACACTGTCCATTTCTGTCCATTTCTGAGGATTGATCTTAACTCCATTGGTGCGGCACTTAGAGGATGGCAGTTCCTGATCATCCCAATGGGATACGTCGAACACGTCCGATGTATTCCAATGTATTCCAATGTATTCCAATGTTATCTTGGGATAACAGCTACAACAGCTACAATCTTATGATATCTTATGACTTATGAGATTCAGATAGACTTATAGATTGGAGATGAGGTGACGTTTCGGGGATGCATCATGACCAGGATTCACATGAAACAATTTTGGGACGGCCAATTTGATCAGGTGCTGGTGCTTGTCCATCTCCCTCTGAGATGGTGAAATGTGCATAAATGTGCATAAATGTGCAATGTGATGCAATGTGAACATGGAATTTCTGCATGGTAAAATACTGCAGAAAGTGCAGACACACCAAAGGTGTGGTGAAAAAACAACTTTGTATCATCCGTCTCACGCTGGAGCTTCGGCTCGGCTCCATCGACTCAAGGTCGCAGAAAAGTCGAGACTCAAGCCAAGATGCGATAGATCGAGTCAGCTGAGATAGAAGATGATTTCAATGATAGCTGATAGAAGTTATATGATGTTATATGAGAGATTGATCATGTGTTCAGAGGAAGGTTTATCCGTCGACTCTGTTTTTTTTTTCCGGCAGACTTTGGCTGAATTGCCACTTTGCAACAGCAAATGACGCGGAGGTGGTCGTCACCTCACTTGATAAATGGGGGTCGTTCAAAAATTCTGCCTTTCCCGTTTTTAATTGGAACGACATATATTGCTAAATTAATCTTAAAAGATGTTCTTCACAATATCTTTTTCATCGTTTGCAACATTTTGCAACGTTTCACCCCGGCACTACCCTACCCCAGACCCCAGCCAGCCATCCCATACCACCTTCCACGGTCAATTCCGTCTCGGGCGCGCTGCGCGCTGCAGCCATGGAACCCGTGGAAGCCGCGGACGGCGATGGCGGTGGTCCGGCTGGCCCTGGCAGGGCTGGTCCGGCGCCCAGCCAGGTGCCTGGTGCGCTCTGCCAGCAGTACCTCGGTGATGTCGCATTCGGAGTTCGTAGACATCGTAGACTGCGTCTTGGGCTGTGAGGAATTTGGAAATTTGTCAAAACACAGCAGATGGTTTGAAGAAAAAAATGATCATTTAATGCCGACAATCATCTTGGCATTGGTCTTTATTGGTCTTTGTATGTCTTTCTCTATTTCACCAATGGATTTTGTAACAGTTGGCATCTCCTTTTGGTCAGATCACCACGGATCAGCCTGGTCATTCCCATTGCAAACTTTTGAGGTACCGAGCGCGCCACAGACACTTTTCGATATGCCTCCAGAGAAGAAGAGCGAGTCGTCAGAACCACGTCCGCTGGCATCCAACAACAATTGGCTCAAGGTTTTTAACTGATGTAATTACTAGATATTACTAGACTAGATCAGATTGATTCATCAATTTCATCAACAGTTTTATGATTTTGTCCCTGAAATTTGGTCAATGTTCACAATTATCAGATGGAACTGTGAGTCTCTTGAACATTGCGCAGTCTTGTGACTCAGTCCGCACACATTCACCGCATTCACCTGAGGTTGCACGAACTTGGAACCCAACGGGAAGACATGAAGCTGTCCATGAAGGTTGGGATTGGCCGTTGAAACTGGGGAAATTTCGATCCAAAGATTCCAAAGATGTCTTCTGTCCTGGAACATCCTGGAACATCCTGGAACATCCTGGAACGTTCCAATCATGTTTCTCGTTGGAGAATGTTGGAGACAGCTCGTGTGCCAGAAATGATTTGAAGGGTAACCCACAATGAGGACTTTTTGATCAACCGACTTGGTCCTACGACACTTTTGTTTTGCTGTGCAATGTCATAGAGAGGCTGAGCATCGCTGAGCTGCACAGGTCTATCACTTTCAAGAGCTCTCACGGACCTCCATCCGTGACCCCATCTTGGAGCGAGATGGTCGCTACATCCAGTTGAAGCAGGATTTGAAAGAGGAGGTCAAAAAACTTTCGCCGGCACAGTCCCACGGCTTTTGCTTCAAGAGCTGTTTGTTTTTGAGAAAATTTGGCCTATGAATCTGTTTAGACAAAGGAGTTGTTGTAAAACACAAGAGACTTAAAGAAACTTAAAGAAACCCTTGGCAATTTCAAAGATCAATGAAGCTTTATGAAGCTTTGCTACAGGTTGGTGGCAGCAATGGTGTCTTGTGGTCGCTTGAGCGTTCGAGAGAAGGAGATGTGGTGGGACTTGGCGCAACTTGGAGAGTTCAGACGAGTCGGACCATGTCGGACCGTGTCGGACCATGTCTTGTCTATAGATATAGGTGATGAAGTGTTGAAAGGGAAGCTTGTGATGTCAAGCGTTTCAGGACTTTTATATCTTTTATGGGATCCATTGTCATGACATGGTCACCATTTTTGATCATTTTTCTTCATTGAGGCGGGCAGTGGAGCGACATACGGTGAAGACGAAGAGTGGAGCACCGGGTTTAGCGCACTCCCAGATTTGCCTTACCATGCACGCGCTTGGAAAGGCGAATGTGAAGATCAAAGATCGTTTCTTGGAAATGCGAAACATGGAGAAACGTGGAGAAACTGGAAAAAAACGACGGATTTTGATGGCGCCAGTTGGCCTTGGACATCGCTATCACATGCTATCACATGCTATCACCACTTGAATGCCTTCCGTGTGAGGCTTTTACTACCGGATGCTCAAGCTGATGATGAAGAACGCCGAGATTTGGACGGAGTTTGATATGGCCTGGCTCCTTGACTCCTTGACTCAGTATGACTCAGTGTGGGTCTAAAGTGTACATCATCCCAGTCCCTGTGTTTCGATGTATTTCTATGTGGGTCGCGTTAGAAGTGGGAGTTGTAGAATGATGATTTGTCCGCAATGATTGCGATTTTTTTTCAATCACGTATGTGTGAAGAATTTCGAGGATTCTCTATGGCATGCGCAAGCGGCGTTTGAAGCCACGCAACCCTGAGCAGAAAGAGCACAAGTTGTGGGCCAGAGTTTTGAGGGCTGTGGCTGCCTACTTCCGACAGAAGATGCACTTCATTTCGCCCAAGGGCATTGTTTACATCCTCTACGAGTTTGGCAAACATGGCATTTTTCCAGGATCGAATCACTGATGTGACAGTCACAGATCACTGAGCTGGAAACGGCATTGCATGAAGAACTATATAGATATTATGTAATATTTGTCAATCTATTTGATATCATTATTTTGTTGAGTATAGTAAAATCATACATATTTCATAATATTTCATATATATAATAAATATATATATATAATAATATATGTATAATTATATTTTTTTTTTTTCCAACTGCACTTAGCTGCGAGTCTCGCTGCGGCAGATTCTTCTTGAATTCTGCTTTCCGCTCCACGGAAATGAAAAACCAGGCCAAAAATGATGGAAGTTGCATCTACCCATCATGGCCAATGTGCTCTCCAAACAGCTTCCCTGCCATAGCTTCACATCTTTTGGTCAGGTCCGCCGGGAGGCAGCTGTCATCGCACTCAGTGCTGGTGACGTCCAAAAATAGTGCCTGCGCAATTGCACGGCACATAGAAGGAGGATATTCTTTCAATGGGGCCGTCAGGAATTGGCCTGATTCGCTTTTTCCAACTGAGGTGCCCGTAGGCAAATTTGCAGCAACTCTCTGTATATTCAATTCTTTCTCAAGGCTTCGCATTCCCAGCACTAACAAGGTAGTAGGCTTGGCAGACGGAGCGCCAAACAACCCCTGGGCCAGGTGAATCAAGCGCATGTTGGGGAGCCGCAACAACAATTGTAAAATCGGCAACCGCCAAATGGTGACCATGTGATCTTGTTCTGGATCACGCGGGTGCTCAACGAAGCCCGTGCCTGAATGAATGGAGAGGGCCGCAATGCCTTGAAACGCAAAACTCAGAAGTAGCGTGCCAATACTGACCTGCTTCAGCTCTTTGAGACTCAAAGAGCATAGTCCCCAGGGCTCTGTCGGCGTTCTGACCACTCTTGGTCCTTTGCCGTTGTCGAGCATGTGATGACGTGCCCGACTCCAAGTGTTGCAAGGAGGACCCGCAATGAAGCCGACAATGTGTCCCTGGGTGATGTGACCGATCCAGTACTGGCGTATATGTGCTTTGGAAATATCACCAAACTCAGAATCAATGACAATGTCAACTGAGGCCACAAAAATCTGACAAGCTGTATGCTGTTTGCCTACCGCTTCAAGATACCATTCAATATCTCCTCTGCGGCGGCGTCCTGCGTATGCATGTAAGATCACTTTCTGTCTGCTCAAGGACCGTGGCAATCGTTGCACGTCACACCATGGCAATTCCTCTTGTCGCGCAAGATCGCCACACCATTGCTCCCAATGTGAGACATCACACGAAAGGGCAGATCCCTGTCTAGAACACGCTTGCAAGAGAAAAGGCCATGCCTCCGCCTCTTTCAACCTTTGCATGCATTGTCTGACTTCCTGGAAGGAGACCAACAATACTTCAGCATCTGCTTCAGTAAATTGGTCTAAAAATTGGTCCAAAGTCTTACGGCAAACCGTCCAGCTTACTGGGTGTTGTTTGATCTCATCTTGCAAGACGTCAAAGATCTGTGCCACTTGATCACAATCAAGAAGTCTGAGGTACATGTCTTCTAAAAGTCTTGTATCATATGAGTCAAAATCTTGCAGTCTACCTGGTGGTAGGACTGGTCCTGCTGCTTGCATGAAAGGGAGAGCATCGTCAGTCTGTGCTGCTAGCTGAAGGTCAGCAACAGATCCCGTGCCAGGAGCAGGCACACACACTTGTTTGCGGCCAATGAGTGTCTGTCTGCAATGTGTTGCCCCTCTCAGATGCGCAAGGACCTTTGCTCTGGTGTGATATTCCCGTAAGCAAGCGGGACAGTGGGTTTCTTCAAACAAACAACGTGCCGGCGCAACACGTCCATGTCTGCGGAACATGTGCGCTGCTTCTCCTCCTATAGTGAGATGTCTGCAGGCACACTGCATGCACCCAAAGTGCCGATCAGGAACTTGACACCACTGCGCGGATGGAGTGTTGTCCACCCATCCAGCTTGTTGCAAGATGGAGCCAACCTCTTGATGCAGCATGAGCGCATGGTGGTAGTTCTCTCTTTGTGCAACTGCATGGGCAAGTCCTCGTTTGATGAGTTTCTTCCAGAAACCTCCATGAAACACCAGGACCTCTTGCCATGCCGGGAAATGGGCCTCTGGTGAGCCAAGGTTCGATGTGCTTGAAATCTGTTCCCACAACCAGCTCATGTCATCTCGGATCAAGGTAATCCACTCATGATCCTCCTGCAAGACGCCCCAATGCGAACTGGTGCCACAATTATGCAGTGTGCCAAAATACCGCAAACGGCAACATCGAAGCAATTCGTCTGGTTTGGGCATGCCCGTACGTACGAGCAACTCCAGATCATCAATGTGCGAGTCATGTGGAACTTTCAGTAGTCTTTTGTAAAGCTTCATGACCCCACCATAGAATTGACTCTTGGAACTTTGACATCGGAGTGTCCACGACTCCAGTCCGTACACAAGTTTGCTCAGCACCAATGTGATGAACATGTCTTTGCGTTTGTCCCAAGCAATACATCGGTTGTGATACAGGATTTTCCTGTGCGTGGAGAAAGCTTGATGCGCAATTGCCAATCTACGCGAGACTTCAATTTTGTCAACTGTCTTATGGTGCAATTGTCCTCCGAGATGGAGATACCTGCTGACTACATTGACTTCAAAAACGCCTCTGTCACAGACAACTGGCAGACGGGGTCTTTCCGCAAAGTATCTGCGTCGAAACACTCGGGCTTGTGCTCCACGGAAGGTGAACATGGTTTCGGTTTTACCTTTCTTTAAATTCGGTTCCATTTGGAGTTCATGGCACTTGTCAATAAGGATGCTGAGCGCAGTGCAAGCCTTTCGTTCGATACCAGAGTTAGAATCAGCAGCTAAACAGATGGTCAAATCGTCCATCCAGTTTGGGCCTATGAAAGGCGTGTGCTTTGCTTGGCCATCATCATGCTCTGAACGGTACAGGCTGGGAAATTCAATCACAGGGACATGTTCAAGGATCAGATGCTTCTCCAATGCAATCTCGTAAGACCTGAGCAATTTGGCCCACAAAAAGCCAAACACTATGTCAGCGAAACTATCTCCCGGCCTGGAACCTATGGTCGTATGGACAATGTCCTCTTGCTGGCCAATACGGAACCAAGTGTTGGAATGCAGCGCTTGAAACATTCTCTGGACGACAGGTGACGCACCTGCTTCCTCAAGTGCACTGGGCTCCTGGATTTTTGCATGCAACTGGTGCAAGGCGTCTGCATCAAGCTTGAGTTTACCTGCAATTGAAGCAATGTGTTCATCAGTGAGGCATCCACCAACAGCAAAAGGTCTTATGACACGATAAAAGGCTTCGGTCAAGTCAAGAAACACTAATGCAGTGGGTTTACCAAGCCTGGCCTGCCAACGGAGAAATGCTCGTGAAAGGTGGAGTGGGATTCCTACTGGCATTTTAGGTCTCCCTCCAAGTTGTTGTGCTTGCATGTATCTGGTATAGATCGAGTGATGCTTTTGCCGGAGTGCACGATGCACTGTCTTTCCTACGTGACTGGACACAAGGAGAGAACGATGGTTGGAACAATCACGGGCATCACCTTTATGTTTCCAGGCTACTGCAAGACGTCCACCTTTATGTTCGATGGCCTCTTGTCCGTGGATGAGCACCTTCAACATGGTGGCATATGTGAGGCGGGCCATTTCCGTGGCCTGGTATCGGCACAATTCTGGCGGGATTCCATCTTCACCAATGGCTTTGCCAACTGCAACCCTGCGAAACGCAAGTTCAAGGTCAACCAGGCTAGGTACCTCAGAGACAGGAATTTTGAAAGGGCCAGTGCATCGGAAGTGCTCAAGACTTTCACGCCACCAAGCCCTGTATTGTGCATGGGAAACTCTGTCACCTCCCTCCATGTTGCAAAAGTACTCAATCCATCTGTTTTGTGCTTCAATTGGGGTTTGGCAAACATCGCCGTCAGCAGTGCGCACACAGGGCAAACTGGGTCGTTTCTGTTTCTTTGGGTTAGACGAGCCCAAAAACGGACGAAGCCGGTGCAGAATTTCTCCTGCAGCTGTTTTGTCGTTAATTTGCCCGATTTCCTCATTGAGGTGCCTTTGTTTACTTTGTTGGACTGCACGTTTCAGCGCCCTGGCCAGCGCATAGTATCTGCAATTGAGATGGACAATTGAACACCGCACTGTGTTCGCATGACGACCATGCTCATCAATGACAACAGAGCAACTATTGTCATCGGTCGCAGCGTCTGCTTTCCATGCCCAAATCATCAATCTCAGACTACTAATGACAACGACCCCTTTCGGGGGAAGGGGTTGATGGTACAAATCTAAGTTGGTGTTGATTTTGGTGTTTCTAGGATTCATTCTTGAACATCTAGGAAAACAAAAAGAATGCCATTGATTTCAAGTGATTTCAGACGAACTGGATAGGGCTTACCAGTCGTGACATTGGCTAGCGATTCCTACATCGCTTTTGAAACATATACATATATATATATACACATACATATATACATATGTATGCTACAAATAAAACATATATATATATTTATTTACGTATATATGTATTAGATTTTGTCAGTTTTCAATTTCGCGTTTGTGTTTGTGTCAACTGAAAATTGGGACTCGCAATTTAGTCATGTATTGGGAAAGGACCGTAACAGAGACAAGCAGGCAAACATACTTGAACAGCAACCAGGAGAGCAAGTGAGCAAATCAGTTGAAAAATGCTGTTGCATAAAAATATGTATATAGTTGTAGTCGTTAAAGCTGGATAGAGAAAACATGCATAATTATCGTTTGAGTATGCTTTCAAAATTGTTTGATCTGGGTATTTTTTTTGTGAAAAATATAGAACTAGATAAGCCTAACAAGTTGGATTTTTTTGGTGCCTTGATTGCTGACGAAGAGTATTGGCAGTGTTAGCAATAGTAGCAGTAGCAGTAGCAGCAGTAGCAGTAGCAGCAGTAGCAGTACAGTTCCCTTCCAAAGTGATAATATGAGATTGCAATGGCCTAGATTGACCATAG